TTTCTTTCTTTCTTTCTTTCTTTCTTTCTTTCTTTCTTTCTTTCTTTCTTTCTTTCTTTCTTTCTATTTTCTTCTCCCTTTCTTCTTTTTCTCTCTTTCATTTATGTATGTGTTGTTGGTTTGTTTAAATTGTAAAATCAATAAAAAAAATTTTAAAAAAATAATAATCAAGTGATAAAGAAAGAAGGTCTAAGTATAAGCTTCCCTCTCTGGCAAAAAAATTGCAGCTTCTCTCCAAGGAGATGATAGAATAGCTTGGAATGCTTTCCATTGATCAATTTCTGAGAAGAAACGAATACTTTAGATCAGGGGTGTCCAACCTTTCACCTTCCCTGGGCCACATTAGAAGATGAAAATTTGGTTTGGGCCGCACATAATTAAATTAAATAATTAATAAAATAAAATAAAATAAAATAATAAAATAAAATAAAATAATAAAATAAAATAAAATAAATAAAATAAATAAAATAAATAAAATAAAATAAAATAAAATAAAAAAATAAAATAATAAAATAAAATAATAAAATAAAATAAAATAATAAAATAAAATAAAATAAAATAAATAAAATAAAATAATAAAATAAAATAATAAAATAAAATAAAATAAAATAAAATAAAATATAATAAAAAATAATAATAAAATAAAATAATAAAATAAAATAAAATAAAATAAAATAAAATAAATAAAATATAAAATAAAATAATAATAAAATAAAATAAATAAAATAAAATAAAATAAAATAAATAAAATAAATAAAATAAAATAAATAAAATAAAATAAAATATACTACAGAGAATGATTATAAAGTTTGGCGACCTTATACATTTTATAAAACCAGTCAGTCAATCAATACATCATCTCAGCTTCAGGAAAATATTTTTTCAGTTACAGCTACATATGCCATCTTGGTTTAAGAAATCTGGTTAGCTAATGATATAGTGGGGAAAGATTTTTGTTCATTTTTATTAGGAGCAATAGCTAATCTTGGAAAGAATAAACTAAAGGAAGATTTCAGGTACTTGCTTACATTGTTTTGAGTAGTAAAAGAAGTAGTGAGACAATCCTCATATAAATAAAACAATCTATTTTAGACATAGTATTAATAGATATTATGCCTATTGAAGCAATATGTATATCTTAGGAAACAGTTCCGCACTGATCTCCCTTTCTTTCTCTGTATGTATATACATATTCATATATTTGTATTCCATTTTTCTTAATGCATAGATAGTGATCATACATGATTTTTTTTTTGTAAGTTTTATTTGAGTTTTCACAAAAAGAAAAAAAAATACAAATAAAACATCTTTTTTGAAAGTAGCGTAATCCCGGGTTACATTTCTTTGTACAGACACAAATTCAAGTTCATGCTCATTTTTATATTCTATTCCATATCTTATAACTATTTTACATTTTCTGCATAGCTTCTCCCCTCTTTTAATTTTCTCAATTTTATTGTAATTATCTCATCTCAATTCAAATCATTATATTTGTATTTTTTGTCTGTCTTGTTTCAATTATCTATTATCTTTTTTCATTAAACAAAATTTCTCCTGTAGTTACTGATTGGAGTATGACGCCTTTATATCTTTTAAGTTTATCCATTTAACTCTTATTTAGACTTCAAAAGTTATAAAGTTATAACATTCAATATAATACATAACTTCCATTCGGATTCTGCTTGGCACATTCTTAAAATACACACTATATTCTTTAAAAAAGAACAAATTATAAATGTATGTAATTAAAACAACACATTCCATTCCATTCCAATTCAATTCTATCATTAATATTAATATTCATTAAAGTCTTAACTTCTTTGACATTACTTTTCAATTAAATATCATACTTCTATGGGAACAATTATAAGCTTTCCATAATTAATTCCCTCCCTCTTCAGTTATATTTTATAAAACATTAACTAATTAAAATGTTCCCGTTCCTTCCTAATTCAGTTTTCTCATTTATTTTATTTCACTTATTTTATTCACAAATATTTCACTAAATTACACTATTTTATCCCTCATTTTAATCATACATTGTTTCCAATTTTCTAAAGTTATTTCTATTACTAATATAACAATACAATCTTATGTACCTTTACAGAATACCTTTTTCAGTTAGATTTTCACCCATTATCTCTAAATAGGTCCTGTTTCTCTATATCTTGCTCCGGTCCTTTGTAACTTCTTTTCCTTTCCTTCTTCCCTCTCTTCTTCTCTCTCCCCTTTTTACCCCCTTGTCTCTCTACCTCTATTTCTCTCTTCTGTATTCCCCTTTTCTGTTGCTTTCCAGTATTATACTTATTTTTTGAATTATTTTTCTTTTCTTTTGTTTTTTTTTTAAGTCTTAAATTCTCCATTCTCTTTCCCCCCTTTCCTTTTTCTTCCCCACATAAAATTACTTGTTTATTAAAGATGGCTTCTTCTTTGTCCCAGGCTTCTTGTTTTGCAGACATTTCTTGTTGTTTCTCATAGTTCCAGATCTCCATTTCTAAGAATTGAAAAACGAAGGCAAAAGAACCCTTCCCTTCTTGTGCATCTTCTTTGTACTTTTTAAGTTCCATTTTCAATTCATCCAGAAGTGGTGCTGTTGTATAAATTTTTAAACAACCACCCGATTAATTTTAGTCATTCAAATATAATAACCAAGAATCCAAAGATCACCAAATAATCCAAATACACGCAAGCTGTTTCTTTTTGCTCTTTTTTTTTTTCACTTTCTCTTCTTGGGGTTACTGTTTAGTTACAAAGTTTCAGTTAAAATGTATCTTTTAGAAGTCTTGTTGAAGTTTTACTGTAGATTCTTTTTAATTCCAGGCAGTCTCCTCCCTCTTCCAGATCCTGCCCTTATTTTTTTCTCTCCCTTCCTGCTTATGAAAAAAAAATTGGTGTCCAGAAATCTTTATTATCCCTTTGGCATTTTATTTTATTTTCAGCTTAATTGCCTATTGATGTCAAAGTGGATTTTTCCGATTTCTTATTTAAGTCTCTTAGTTGTCAGTATAGGGAAGGAGAGAGAAGAAAAAAAAAGCCAAACCTTTCCCTTTTCACTTTCCTTCGCTGCTTCCGACTCTTCTTTGGGAGTGATGTTATTTTTTTTGTAAGTTTAAATTCCAGGGTACCTTAGTTGTTGCTTTCACAATTTAACCCAGTCAGCCAAAACTTTCACTTCTTATCTTCCTCCTGCACATTCTTTTCTGGTCGAGTTCTTCTTTGTGGTGGCCATTTCTGACCACCGCTGCAACCGCCTTCGGGAAAGGGAGTAATGGCCAGCTGAGGAGGAGAGATGTGGCTTTCCTCAACCCTGCTGGCGGTCTCCCCCTCTTCACCACCTCTACGGGGTTGCTTAGCCCCAAAACCAGCCGGCTCGGGGCGCTCCAGCGGCGAGCCCAGACTGAAACCACGCACGATCACGGATTTCTGTCTGTCGCCAGAGAGACTTCAAAAAGAGACTCTTCTGTCACCGAAGAGACCGATCATACATGATTTTAATGTTAGATGCCCCATATATTATCATTTTATAAGAAAGATATGAGGATTGCTGATCCAGCATTACAACAGAGCCTCTTTCCTTGATCCATTATTTGAAGGATAGTAAGTTAAATTGCTCAGGATTTTATTCAGTTTGGATGGCTAGTATCCTTTAGCTATTATAAATATTTTGAATGGCTCTATTGAAAACAAGGGCTTTACATAGAATTTATTTAATGCTGCCTGCCAGCCCAAAACAGCCCATTCCATAGGACAGCACTGTTTCATATGAGGCTTGAGAATTCCATTGGAGAGAATTGTATAAAGATGAAATGCCTTTGAAAACCATTTGTTAGCTAGTGATTAAGAATTGCCAAAGTTAAGAACATATAGTAGTAGTAACTAACTTACGACGGATAAAGTTCCAGGTAATGATTTAATATCTTGGATAATAAATAATAATTTGGATTAGTGAGCTTCTGTTTTGGCTTTGCTGTTTGTGTTCATAAATAACTAAATGCACTTAAAGTAACCAATTTTAAAAAGGGGAAAGAGATGACTCAAGAAATTACAGATTATTAATGTTGGAAACTCAGGAATTGTTTAGGAGAACCTGGTGGAAAAAGCAATTGGCTTCTTGAAGGGATAGTCACCTGTACACCAACAATTGGAGCTATGCTTTCCCCATGTTTCTATATACAGGTATATTTATTGATTTCAAATTGATATTTAGATCTGTTCATCATTTTAATTTTTTAATTTTGTTACATACTTTTGTATATTTCATGATTTTAAAAGGATTTATCTTTTTCTCAAAATCTTCAGTTTGCTTTATCTATGGAAAAGATCTATAAATACACTAAATTTTTTTGTTGCACACTTAATTAATTATTAGTAAAACATGCTTTATTCTGTTTATTTTTAATACATATCATTTTTAATCCTATTGTTTATATGACATCTTTAACAATTGTTTCCCCCCACAGACTTCTGTCCTGTTTCTACCTTACCAGTATTTGAAGTTTCCGTGCCAATATTTGCTTACCCAGAGCCTACACATTATCATCAGGTTTTTTACAAGTGCAAACTAGGATTTAAACCAATCAAAGAAAGTGTAATTGCTATGGTGTGTCATAAGGGTATCTGGCATCCAAATAAAGACTTTTGCAAAAGTATGTCTTTTTCTTACTGGAAAATGTATTTGTTTTTGTTATGTTTAAAGAAGCATTATAAGACTTAAAATATATTTTTAAAAAACCCATCAAGGACCTCCTATTAGGTGATGGTTGTAATGCTTTCTTTGAAATATGCTAAAGTTGCCAGTTCTGGCTGAAAAACCTCAAGGATTGCTGGATGGTAAATGAGAAGCTCTGGTTCTTTGCTGACCTCTAGTGGTTATTTGGATTTTTCACCCTGACACTTGGCCCTACATAAGCAGTGCTATAATGGGGAAAAAAATCCCATAAATTGTATAAGATATGGTTTTGATTAATGTTCATTATTAAGTATATAAATATCAATTATTGTGTCTATAGATTATTTGTGAATTTGTGATTTAAAAGGTATCATAGGACCAAACACTGCCTTGGTTTCTTTGCCCTGAGCTGATACAAGGGAAAAGAGTTGGGGGAAATATCTTCTGATCCTGTGCATTTTTTTACCATGAAGTCTCAGTTCTGACTCAATGAGTTTAATCAATTTATCAAGTAATTTATACATATATTTCAGTATAAAATTATAGCTTTGCTCTATAAAGATCCACTGATGATTGGATTACAGTATGCAATTGCTTCAATATTTATTTGGAATTTGTGTATAGATTTGCAGGAAATCATTATAAAATTTGGTAGTGCATTAGAATAAAAAAACCTTGGGAAGTGTCACATGAGAAAAAATATTGAAGAATATTTGCAGTAATAAGTAGAATAGGGTGCTAATCTATTTAAATTGTGATGAAATATTTTATGTTTTCATGTGGTAAAATAATGTATTTAGGAAGTAAAGTGATACTGCCTACTGGATAACCACATTACTGCAACATATATAATTAAACTTAGATCTGCTACAATAGTGTCATGTTTGTTTACATTATCAGTATGAGGAATATATATACAACTTACACATCTGCTCTCCTGCCTTTTTACCCCAGCAATATGTTATCTTAAGATACAATGAATAGATTGAGCAAAAGAATACATTAAATATTAAGTTTCAAGTTATCTTCCCTAAGCTAAATGAAGAAATCCGTTTAAATGTTATTTTCTATGCTGCACAAGAAAAAATGTTTCTTCCTCTAGCATGCATGATCTCTCTTGAAACACTTATCTTTTTGCTAGCATATAGTAGATTTAATTTTTCAGAATTGATCAGTGGCCAATGGTCATTCAAAACAATTTTACTTTTTTCTTATATTGATTTTGAATGCCATTGCCACATAGAAATGGTGAGTAGTTTATTTATATTATATATATTGCATATTCTTTGGTTGAAGCATGTTCTTCTCAAATGGGCTTTTAATGTTGTGTTTTTTCTAACTACAGTATACTGAAAATACCTTCAGAGAAAACATGAAGCTACATGACAGTGTTTGTAACTGCTTTAGGTTTTTTTTTTTCTACACATAGGATTGGTTCATTTTCTCTACCTTGGTCCCAAATGTAGGTCTTTTCGTCCTTCTCTCTATTCTAAGAAAATACTATACTGTTTTTTCTGCTAAGTAGAATGGAACCATTTTATAGTGTCTGAAAAATTAAATAACCAACAATGATAACCAAATAACCCAAAACTAATGGAAAAAGATTCAATTAAAAAGAGAGTGTGAGTTGGACCTTGTAATAAAATGCAGCTCTTATACAGACCTTTTTTTTTATATCAGTACATTTTCTGGCATTTAAATGACAATCTTTGGCTTATCCTCAGGACACTGATGATGAGTTTCAGTTGATTCACTGATGAGTTTCAGTTGATTCACAGTACTTATCTGGAAGCAAGTCACAACTTCCATTATCTCTTGGGGCCCTACAAAATACACATTTTTGTTGATATGTTCTTAGGACTGTATGTACATGTGCAAATACATTTTCTATTTATGGAAGTAGTTACACATTGTAACAATAATTCTCCAATATTGCCTCTACACTATTCTGTCTTAGTCTTTATCCTGATCATTTTGTTTTTTGTTTTTCTAAATTGTTTCTCCCCTCCCTCCACCAGGAATATATTGTGGACAGCCTCCAAATATTACTGCTGGATTTCACAATGGAAATGCAACCACTTACCCTGTTGGAACAATAGTACATTACAGTTGCAGTAAAAATCTTTCCCTTATTGGGGCATCCTTTATGGTCTGCAGTGCTAATGAAAATCTAACCGGACTATGGAAAGAGAAACCACCCATATGCAAAGGTTGATTCCCCACCCCTTCTTCAGTTTAAAACTTAATTGTTGTATGTTCCTTTTCTATTTTTCAGTAATATTGAATAATTATTTTGCTTTATTTCTAAGCATTATATCTGGTTCTCTCAAGTTAGTTTAATGGTAGCCTTCTCTTAATCATATACTGTAAATGTAGTTTTTGTTTATATATTTAATTGGTCAATACCAACTGATTCAATTCAAAGTGGCCTATAATGAAATAACAGTTAAAAGTTTTCAGTTCAAATTGGATCCAGAGTTCCAGGAAAAAGGAGGAGGAGAAATCACAAGATTTCTGCTATACTATATTTTTGGATTACGTTCAAGTAAAAATAGATTTAAAATATACAGAAACAGCTCGCGATATTTTATATCTTATGGTTGTATTTATTTTCCTATCTTATTAGGGGTATTCTGTAAAGATCCAGTGGTAGAACATGGAATACAGATAACTCAACCTGAGAAGCCATATATATATGGAAGCAAAGTTATATTTCAATGCAAAAGTGGGTATTTTATGATTGGAAATTATTTGATTTGATGTGAAAAAAACAGCATTTGGGTTCCCATAGTACCATCATGTAAAAAGAGTAAGATTTTACATTTTTAAATATTTAATTGGAATTTCTTTGTAATAAATAATTTAAATGTAAAATGGTTAATATTCATATATTGAAATTCATACCTTGACTTCTGTTTGTCCCATTCAATGTCATATACTGTAGGGTTTTGTCCAACTATGGAAAATTGGTCATGTGTGTGCAGCATAATTATTCATATAATAATACACTGTAATATAGAAAGACAGGCATCCCAAAGTTGAGAAACATGTCATTGATAGCATTTCTTCCTCCAATTTTTCATTAACACGACTCTGTGTGACAGCCAAAATCATCCTATGAAGTTTTGTAGCAAAGGGGGTTTTATACTGGGTTTTCCTGGTCCTATTTTAATTAGGACATATTGACTGAATAAGTTGTTGCCTTCTCTTTGTCAAAGATAAGTGACCTGGCAAAAACTACTCAGGGAACTTCTGTGGCTGAGGATGAGTATGAATTTAAGTATTCTCAATAGTATACTAAACTACGATAAGTTGCACAAAATAAAAAAAATAATATGAGCAATTAATATTTTTACAAGCAGTTTGCTATCTAATAAATGAGTGAAGCACTGATGAAGAGTAATGAGCCTCAAAAATATGCCTTATGAAGATCAATGGCACCTGGCTGCATATATAGTGGCTGCCTTTAAAGCAAACTACTTGCAGGCTATTATCTAGGCACTGCCAAAAGGAAAGCCACAATTTTTCCTCCCTTTGGCGTGGTATAAGAACAGGAATTATAGTTTTAATCATAATTTCTAGAATCACAAACATACTATATTATATCTTAGTACAGTGCATGCCATATTATTTTAGCTTTCACTGAATAAATGAAATAATTTCTGATTAATATGATAGCAAGGGAGGGAACTGCTAGGCTGACTTTGAATTTTTGTGTTATGTTTATGGATACTTGTGGGTTTTTAAAAATATATATTTTATTTATACAGTTTTCTTTAATATAACTGCTTAGTAAACAGTAAATAGATTTAATGAGAAAATTGTGGTTTCCCCGTGGTCACTGAAGTGCCTTTCATTACTTCACCGCCTCTCCAAGGCAGCTAGGACCCCAAAGGGTCACCTGACAGTGGTTACCAGCTAGGTTTCCTGGGCTTGGTAAAGCCAGCTTTTTTCCAGCCGTTCACAATGCGACATCAACCGGAAGTCCAATTCCAAGTCTGTTATGTCTTCCTTCTTCTATAGTTTTTTAAATTTCCAAAACTTGTTTCAACTTATGTAGTATCTTTCTCTTTAAATTTATACAGCAAAGCTTTAAAGTTTATTCATCAAGAGTATTACTTTTCCAAGTTAAAAAAAAAAAGGTATTTTCTATCTCTCAAATTACTTTTCACTATAGTATTATGTCCCATCTGGTCTTTCCTTTATAGTGTAATTTAATGTTTTCCCATTAAAATTAACTTTTTTTCCTGGGTCTGTCATTTGACTCCAAGTATTAGCTCGCCACTTCTTTTAGGAGGAGGGAAAACAATCCTTTCCTCCCTCCTTTATGCAGTCCTAATTTTTTAAAAAAATCTTTTTTTTCTCCAAACCAGAAATTAAGAAGGTTCTCACCCAGATCTGGTACAATGCTTATGAATCACTAGTTTTCGCTTCCTCTTGATAGTTGTGAGTTTTTTGTTTGTTGGCTGAAGCACTTACTTGGAATGTACTGTTCAGAATGGAGGTTTGGAGTTTGGAGCAGGCTGGGCTGAACAAGAGCAGATTCTAGAGAAGAGCTGTTCTTATTGTTTTACTGCATTTATGGCATTTTGCAGTCCTGTTTTGCTAACCATGTATGCTGTTTTGTTGTGGATCTGGCAGCATTTTTATGGACTGGATTCAAGAACCTAGTCTGTGTTTTGTGGAAGAGCAGGTTTCTGCTAGATGCTGAGAGCAGTCTAACACACCAAGAAACCTCTGACCCATAGCATGGCAAGCAGCCCCAAGGCTAGGCGGAATGCAGAGCAGCCAAAAGGAAATGGTGGCAATTAGGCAGTTGGGAGGAGTTGAAGGTGTGGCAGTTCTTTGCCTTAGAAGAACTGAGGGATGAGGCTGAGATGGAATGAATTAGATTGGGATGTCCTTGCGAAATTAAAAAAAAATCCCAGAGGAAGGCAGTGATAAATGATTTTATTATTGCAACAACAAAAAACAACCCACAAACAAACAAACCCTATGCAGACACCCCCAGGGCATGGTTTGAAGAAGAATTTAATTTGAAATGAAGTTCAAGAAATCCTTTTAGTTTGGTTGCCTAGGAACTTATTTATAGACATGTCAAAGTGTAATTCAGTGTAAGACACATCTCTATCTTGAAATGGATCAGGTGTGTGACTTGTGTGATGTGAATGTGAACTAATAAAAAGAAAGTGAATTGTAACATACTGTCTTAGCGTTATCAGAATGTTATCAGATGATATGTCTTGATAATTTTTGCATAAAAACTATTTTTATTACAGTTTCTCGAGGCATATGTGGTCCTCCATTGATTCTCAATGGCAACATACAGCCTTTGCAACCTCAGTATGAAACTGGAAAAACAGCTGTCATAACTTGCAACCAGAACTATTTTTTTTATTGATGACACCATAATAATGACTATACAGTGTCAAGGTTATAATCTCTGGAATCCTCCTGCACAATTATGTTTCCGTAAGTATAAATCTAGGTGTGAAGTGTTCCCTTCTATTGCTTCTAATGCTATAATGTAGACAAAGGTAGCTATATAGGAGCAATATATTTTAAATATTACCAATTTCCATATATTATAAATATTATCAATTTCCATATATTAATATTGCACCTCATGATTTTGTTAACAGTTTCTGAATGTTGTAATATATTGCATAATGAATTTAAATGAAAGTTTAGTTTGTACTAAAGATCAAGAATAATACAGACAAACTTTATAAGGAAGTAATTTTTCAAAGTCCCACAATAGTCATCTTGTCATTTTAGCAGGGTAACTTTGGAAAAGGATGTTTGGCCCTGATATGTGCCTACCTGCCTTCCTCTCTCTCCATCCATCCATTGCACTCTCCCTCCATTTTTTAAAATATTCTTTCATCTATTGCAAACAAATTGCAAACATTCTGCACATCACCTCCCTGCAGTATGTTGTTAAACTGCTTGGCAACAAGTACATGTGTACTGGTCAGATGTTTCAACCAAAATGCATGAAATTCATTTTCAACTGTTGCTGACCAATTCTTGATCTTCCGTGCCCTTTTCTCCACCATTTCTACAGTTATTACAAGTTCTTTCATTTCATCTTTTTTTATTCTTAACCACCTCTTTTAACCAAGCTGCATTTTTGTTATATTTCTTATAACTTCACCCCAAACTTTAGTGTTATAAATCAAAATTGATCTGATTGTCTCTGTTCTCTTATTTCTGATTCTGAATGTTGCTTTTTCCAGAAGGGATGCATTCATTTCAAATATCCTATTGTTGGACTTGATCTGCTATAACAGATAATTATTTCTTTGTTTTCAATCATTGTATATTTGTAATGGGTAAATTCCTTTCTTTCCAGCTGCAGCTGCTGGCCCTAGTTGTTCAGCCAATAATAATGAGTCCTATAGCCCATTTTTCACCAGATGTCTAGGAACTCCAACACCTAGCATAGTCCTTGTTGACTGGTGACCACCTAGGTGGTATGGGTTTCTATAATTTACATCTCACCATATTTTTATGGGAGAGACACTGTCTAAATCCTCTGATGAGACCTGTCTTATATGGTTGAACCTCTGGCATAGCTCCTATTCTCTTCAGCCCCACAACCATATCAAGGTAGTGCTTCACTGGGGGTCAACGTAATGCCTACAATTAGATTCATGGCAAAGACTGTAGAATCCTTAAAAACTCAAGTCCTAACCAAGGACCTAAGAATTATTAAATTAGCTCTTGAGAATACATACAGTTCCTAGTAGAATGGTTTTTTGGGGGGGGTGGGGGTGTGTGTAAAATTATGATATTTAGATCTAATAAATTCAAAATTTTCAAATATCGAGGGAGGTTTTTTTAAGGTAAAGGGGTCTAATCATGATTGGTATAAAAGCAGATTTCTTATTCCATAAGCATTCAAATATGATCTACAAGTCCCAGTATTTTTTTTTTCAAGTTGATTTTCCTCAATCCTAGCATCATTTGATATAGCCTTCTTGATTTGAGGGTCCCAGTAGTTCTTACTTCATTCAGATTCAGATCTCTGGTGATGTGTTTAATAAGTAATTTTGGCAATTCAGTCATGACCCTGCTTGTAGTCAGTTTTGTAATTTTATAGTCATGCAGCCACTGATCAAATGGTCAATTGATATTTTTATATTAAAAGGTGGGTAATAATACCAATAGTAATAATAATCACTATCAGTCAATTGGAAAAGGCAGTTTTACTTGGAACAGTTTTATCCTGCAGCAATACCTTTAACAACATCAAAAATCACCACTGGCCTATCCCAAGACCTTGGGAAGGACTCAGCAGGACAAAAGTCCAAAATCTGGTCTAAATATCTGCCTGACAGTGTGAGCATCCATAATAATTGTAGACAGAATTTATTAAATGGGAGATAGCCCAGAGAAAAGTGAAATCAAGCAGAAAGAGTGAACTTGAAGAAGAAACTACAAAATAGAGCAATCAGTATTGGTAGTTGGGTTGTATGTTTTTTGGGTGAGGAGGGAGGAGCAGAAGTATAAGTAACTCAGAACCATTCAAGTTTCATATACACTATTTGGGAGCAACAGAGAAGCACAAAATTACGATTTCAACTGCAAGCAGTGACAAAAGTGAACAAGCAGTGAGCTTGCTTAAATCTGCATCTCCTCAGATGGAGCTTCATTAGCCAGCCAGGAAATTCCTGATCCTGCCAGTTCTTAATCTCAGGTGCTCACTATATATATTAGGAAAAGAGATAACTTAAAAAAAACCAGGACTATTTGGAGGTAGTTTAACTAGGATTTTCCTGAAATGGGAATATATTCAGGAGCTATCTGTGTTTCTCGTGTGTCATCTGCTTATGTCTGGCAGCATTATACTTTAGCATATAATAAAGAATACATCTACAAATAAATGACTCTTCTTTGTTATTTGTGTTTATTAAAATGGTTTTAAAATAACTTATTTTTTGTATTTTTAAAAGATAAGTTGATCAAAAAATTATTTCAGATTGAGTAGATCAATCTATATTCTTTTAAAACTATGTGATTTCTTGATTGTACAATAGGAATTTAGGTTGATAACTCATTTTTTAATAAAAAAAATAAAATACTTTATATGAACCTTCTCAGAGTATAGAATTTTAGCTAATAATTTCTGCATGCTCACTTTGTAAGAAACTCACTTATCAGAATTGTTTTTTCTTTTTAGGTAACTTCCTCAAGCTAGTTATATTTGGTATGTAACTTTGAACATGAAAATGAAAATATTAGCACAGTTCAATGCTGGTTTGAAAAATCTACAATTTGCTTTTGGGAAACATCACCTACTTCTTTATTGGGTGGAACTAGTTCTTCCATTCATTTTAATCCAGGTGTCTCAATAGTGCAACCAAGTTTCCTCTTGATCTTCTGTGCAGATATGAATAACACAAAACACAAATTTGTCTCTATTGTTTCAGTTCATGAGATAGTAATAAACATGTACAACTTGGGGTTTGCCTTCATGTGGGAGTTATCTGTGAGAGTTTTGGATACAGTCATTTCCTTACCTTGTCAAATAATATTGTAGTAGGAATTCTGAAGAAATTGTTTTTGATGAAGGAGTTACTTATTCTTTTGTATACCAGCCTGCATATGCTTGGGTGGCTTGGATGGTACAGGGTGGATGGTATTTTTTGCACTTGGTTGATCCAGAGGTAGTATTCAACAGGTTCTGACCAGTTCTGGACAACCGGTAGCAGAAATTTTGAGTAGTTCAGAGAACTGGTAAATACCAACTCTGACTGGAGTTTTTACAGTATCCTTCCCCTGCCATGCCCATCAAGCCACGCCCACAGAACCAGTAGTATAAAAAATTGAATTCCACCACTGGGTTGATTCTTGATGCTGGTAGATAATTTATTTGATAAGATGGTGCTTTTGTCTTATCTGAATTTTGATTGCAACCTTTGAGATTGGTGGAGTTGAGAATTATATGATGAGATGGTTCATTAGGAAAGTATTGTTCTTTTGCCATGATTGTTTCACTATAGATAGTTATCAATTATTATAGAATGTATGCATTTGCTTGCTTACTTACTTGTTATATTTGCAATATGGTACGTGGGTGATAATTCCCAGACTGTCTGACAATTAGGATAGTAGATTTATGGTTCTATCTTACCTGGGTGTTTGGGGAAATGCTTTTTGTGAAGGTGTTAACTTTGGATCTTTGTAATGTCCAATTTTAGGTCTTTATGTCTGCTGTTCATTGCTTCTGAGAATTCTGTTAAAATTTTCAATCTGGTTTGTTCCAAGTTTTTCATGTTTCCCAATTGGTTAAACCAATGTGGCTGTTTGAATAGAAGAAACGGAAGAAGATTAATGAATTCATATTGTATTTTTTATCACTAGTTGGCATTTGTGAATATGTTTTATTAACTTCCTGCCACCTAATGTAGTGATCTTTTCCCTGCAGTCCTGTATTCTTCCATTGGTAATGGGTCTTTGGGTTTGCGTAATATGCTTTTCAAAGAACGTTTTTATTTGTGTACCAAAGTTAATCCAAGTAGTTGGAGTAGTCTGTTTCTGGTCTCTGATATGAATTTCTTCAAAACTCATACACCAGAGAAGCTATTTGGTAAAGTAATGAGACGCCCCATTACTGCAACCAAAAATCAAAACTTGAAGAATTCCTCCAATTCAACATGCTGTGTTTCTTTTATAAAAATTGTATCCTTCAATTGCTCTATTAATGAGATTGATCCAACAGTGTCTCAGATATATCTTCAATCAAAGCTGCATTCTTGAAATAATAATAATTTGGTTTGTTTCCAGTACTCTGAGCATTAATATATAATGAAGGCTGTAAAGCAGGGATGTCAAACTCGCATCGTCACTGTGTTGTCACATGACGTTTCGGGACATTTTTTCCCTTTGCTAAACCGGGTGGGGGCAGAGCCAGCACGTGATGTATCCGGCCTGCAGGCCGTGAGTTTGACACCCCTGCTGTAAAATTATGAATTAAGTTTTATACTGATTGTTCAGATGATTTAATTGTCCATATCATAGTTAATTTATTTAATAAACAGGTATAGGGGCTGGAATAATCTCCACTTATTCTAGTTGTAAGAATTTCACTAAAGGACTGAGTAACATTTTCAATCACGTTAATTTTTTTAGTTTTAATTATTTTTACTATGACACTCAGTGGCACTTAGTATTTTTCTTTTTCTTTTTAGGGTATTCAATACCTGTGTGGATTCTGGTGATCAAAATGTTTCACCAGAAATATGTAGAAGAAAGGTATAACTTATTTCCTGCTTCTTGTTTTTTCTTTTGCTTAACATGGGCACTGCAGTATTTTTAGATATAAAAAAAATTCAGTATCGGTATAAATGCTATTCATGTATGATATGCATTTATTGTAGTTCCATGATGGAAAAAAAAGAAAGCTAAGGAGTAGGCAGATTATACTATTTTGTGCTCGTATCAGTCTATATATGTTCCTTCAGAAATTGCTTCTGAACTTTTTTTTTTTTTGCATTCATGTGTATTTTTGTTAAAGAAAAAAACTACACATATATTTATATCTATCATGAATTCAGGGATAGTAGTAGGAATGCAGAGGCTCATGATTAGGATGGTGAGTTAATTTGCAAGCCCACATTTGAAGCTTAAGTTCTGCTGAATGTCAGGGAGAGTTCCATCATTCGCACCAGCCCCTGCCTACCAAGAAGTTTGAAAGCCTGAAAATGTGAATAAATAGGTACCAGTTTGGTGGGATCATTAATAGTAACATGAAAAGAGCCTCCAATTGGGCATCCCCTGGACAACGGTAATGTCACCAGTCACCAGCTTTCACCTCGGAAGTAGTAGTAGTAGTAGTAGTAGTAGTAGTAGTAGTAGTAGTAGTAG